GTAGTCATACTTCACGTTGCCATACTGCTACGACAGCGACTGCGTACTGCCTCTACTACTCATGCCATTAAAGCAAAACATGATGTTAGCAAGAACCATATAGTCACAATGCTGATAACACCAAGAATGAGCATCACAACGATAAGAACACGACGAGTTAATAGCGGTAATCATACAACCATACTAGCAACAATACTAGTAACAGACATACTATGCCGACGACGACCAACCTAGAACACGACGACAACTGCGACTACTTCTCAGTGGCTGTGCTGCCACTCGACACCGCCTACTAGGACGCACTGATTCTAGTCTCAAGCTATGATACTTGGCTGTTGCATGTGAGTGTCGATGTGTCAGATAACTCCACTGTAGCGCTATCAGTACTACCAGTACCAGCCTTCATAGAGCGCTTTCTCGGAACCTCTCTTGCGAACTCTGCCGCAGGCCATCGAGTACAGGAAGCAAGCAAACTTAAAGCCGAAACGCTCCTCTGACACCCTCAAGTCTAACTACACCCTAGACTCCGACTCCAACCCGAACTCGTGTAAAGGAAGGAAGTTTATGAAGGCCGCCTCCTGGAAGCCAGCCCCTGGCCTCGTGCAGACACCCGACTTGGGCTTGTCTTTGAAAGTCGTGGCTTCGGCTTGGGGAAAGAGAGGCCCCAGGCTCTAGACTCTAGGCTGCAGGTTCGGGAGCTCTTGGGCAGTTTTCACACATCGTGCGCAAGCTTCTTTTACATCGCGGGGCCAGTCTTCGGGGCATCTGGTAGATCGGATGGGAATGGCTTTGCATCTGCACGGGATCGGGGGGAATATCCAGTGTTTAGATGTCCGCACAGAGTTCCATCATGTCCTCTTCGAGGCTGGGGTCTGACTCCTGCCATGAGGATCTGAAAACTCTTCCGAGAACAAGCGCCAATCCGCTTCTTGCCCGCTCTACTCGGCAGGCCTCACGGCCCAGGGCGTTCCACTAAATCGCTCTTCCCGCCTGTGGCCAAGACACTCTCAGGCATGCGCGCTGGATGTCTCAGAGAACCCAAAGAACCCTGCGCTCGGCTTGCTCCGTCTGTTGTAAACGCTCCGAGGCTGCACCTGATACCGAATCTTGAGCTCCAACCTATATCGGAAAATGAGTTTGAACCGCTTGGGCCCGAGCTGGCTGCTGAAAGGGTCGTCATGGTGCGGGTGGCTGCCCGAACCCTCACAAAGCGAGCTTTGGGCTGCAAAGGCGATCGGTTTGGTCACCCTGGGTCGAGCGGCTCATCATTGTGCAACCTTTAGATGTCTCAAGGTTTCAGGTTCTTAGGGTTAGAGTGTTGGGTTTGTTGGAGAGAGTAGACTTGATAGCTGCTCAGCCAAAGCCTTGCAAACGGGCTCACAACCTGAGCCTTACTACTACTACTACTACTA